GAAGGACGCCCACCAACCCCCATTGTGAAAGTTCCAACAGCTAAGTGTAAAATGGCAAGCACACATAGTGTCTACGTGACAGGAAAGCTGGATGGCCAAAGGTGCGACTTTGTCATAGATTCTGCATTTCAGCAAACCCTTGTGAGTATGAAGATGCTGGATCACAAAGGAGTACCAGAAGCTCTGTGGTGTGACAGGACATTATGCAAGGTTGTGGGGACCAGTGTGGGTAGCTATTGGGCTCATGGGCATGAAGGACAGACAGAAAGTATACTTGGCTGACATTGAAGACCAATGCATATTAGGGTTGGACTACTTACTACCAATGAAGTGTGTAGTTGACTTCGATAAAATGACGATTGGAATCAACAAAGGCCAGACTCCAGAAAGTGTTGCTGCATCTGTTGATTTGCATGTCCCAGCACTTAAGTCAACTACAATACCCCCCTATGTCAAAGAAGATAATTTGAGGTAGAATAAAAGAACATCCCCAAGGAAGCCCAATGCTTGAAGATTTTGAAGATTGGAAGGTCACTTGTGGCAGGTCATCAAGTAATGCCCATAACAGTGGCCAATTTCTCTAAATGTGAACAGACACTTAAGGAAAGGGCATTGTTGGGTGTGTGCCAGGATGTAGAGCCAGTCAATGTTAAAGCAAGAAATATGACCATAAAGAAAGGACGTCCTCTCCCAGAATATTTAACTGACCTCTATAAGAAGAGTATAGTCCATTTGTCATCATAATAGACTCTTCAGGTTAGGGAACTTTTGGTGAATTATGCAGACGTCTTTTCAAAAGGAGATCATGACCTCGGCTGCACAGCCCTTGTAGAGCACAGAATAAACATAGGCAATCACCATCCAATAAAGATCCCTCCGAGGAGAATAGCTCTGGCAAAGCGGCAAGAGATGGAGAAGGTCATGGATGGCCTAATTAAGGAAGGGATAGTCGAGAAATCAGATAGTCCCTGGTCAGCTTCCATTGTGTTAGTCCAGAAGAAGGATGGGACCCAACATTGCTGTGTGGACTTCAGGGATCTTAACAGTATATCCAAAAAGGACTCATACCCATTGCCAAGAATTAATG